TATGATGGTCATGTACACGTAAAGGTAGAGGATTGGAGCTTCTTCTTGGCGGAAAATATTTCCTGAAGTATTCAGAAAAAAGTATCAATAAAGAGCAGTCACTTAACGCTCTGCAGCATGAGTTTCACCAATGTTTTTGGTAATTCTAACATTACTTGTGCAAGCAGCAAAGATGCTGCACATTTTCTTCATGAACTGTACACAGACCTTCGATTGACCAGTGCCTATGGCTGGCTGTTTTGGTGCTGTGGCAGCAGCATACATGAAGGAGCCTTTCCTTTTTCTTGCCCAAGGTTTTTTTAGGGTGCATTGTGGCTGTTATTATGGAGTCTGGACGTCGTCATGAACCAGGAAGTGTAGTGCAAACGAACGGAGCATTTGAGCATATTCATTTTCACACGCTGCTTTGGGTGCTCATGCCATTTACACACATAACTGTGGGCATGACATATCCACTTTGGTATTCTATAAGTCTGAAGAAGTTGCATTTTCTGTGTGTATTTGAAAATCTGTTAACACAGGTAATGCTTGCGCTAGTAGGCCCTGTCAGAATGGAGGAACATGCAGCCCTACTGGTGCATCGTACAGCTGTGCATGCCCAGCTGGAATAAGTGGAGTCAGCTGCCAAAGTAAGAACATTTACACGTTCTCCCACAGAAATTAACTAGCTGTTGCCAGTAAAGGTACATATTTATTTATTGTTGCTCTTTCATGAGGGCAGTCGGCCCTCACAATGAAGAAGATGTATGCAGGTCAGGGTGCAGTTACACCATGGAGGAATGAGAGCACATCTCCATGGTTACACTAGCAAACTTGTATATATAAGTGAAGATGAAAAACAAGCCTGTGATGGTGACAGTTGTTTAGGTAAGTACATGGCGGTGGGGGGGGGACTTTCCTGTAGAACGAAGGTCACACATGTACAGGATTTGCTACAAACTTACTCAAAATGATCAGCAATAATTGACACTTCCAAAAAGGTAATTTCAATTTGGTTTTTGACAGTATAGAAATGTTGCTTTTTCAAAAAGTTCAGTCCAAGCCTTTATGGGGATTTATGGTACAGTTCTCCACCAAAAGGTTGCCATAGGGTCCATATTTTAAGTTTGTAGTAGACAAGAGCTGGGCTGATGAGTTGCTGTGATTTGCATATATGGGAAAATGTCAGGCAACTTGAGGAATTGTGTGGTAGATCGGGACATTCTGTACCACACAAAAATCACCATAATCTGGATTAATACGGGTGATTCATAATAGTGCGCTTCCAGGAGTTTGCAACATATTGCCAATCTTGATGAACGAAATTTGTCGACCCAATGCACATTTTGAAAGGGTCAACAGATTTTGTGCACTGTTTCTTGCAAACTCTTGGATCCAGAGGCACTATTGTGAATCGCCCGTATTAACAGATATATGTATACACACAAAACAAAATCACAAATGCATCTTCTACCCAGACAAACATCAAGAGCACCTCAAGTTCACTGTGCGCCACGCAAGCCGTTAATATTGTTGACCGTTTCCCACAATGCACTGCCAAAAGAAATGTCTTCCCTGGCAACCCCTTGGTCATGCACTGCAGTGTTGCATTGTTACCCCTACATCTACATGTAATTGAAAAGGTTCACTTGGAGATATGAACTCGGGCTTATAGAGAGAACAGTCCCTTGGAGACAAAGATTAGTTGTGATACAAATTGTCATTCAGTGAGACCAACTGCTTGTACTTTGGTTTCTTTTCCAAATCTCAGATTCATTTTTCAAGCTTTTTGGCTTTGTCCAGATTTCAATATCATGAATATAGTCCCTGAGTTCTGATGAAGCTTAACACAGCTCCACTGTCTTCAAAAGAAATGTCAAAAGTGTCAAATGCATGACAAGACTTTTGAGAATTCTCATAATTAATTGGTTTCAGTTTAAACTGATTCCTTTTTACAGAAGCTGTTTCACAAAGCCGAGATAGGAATGGCCTTTAAGTGTTCATGCATTTGGTCTCTTCAACTGCAGTCTCATTGTAGACCATAGCTTTTGTCTGAGATGTCTGGCTTCATTTTTAAAAAAATTCTGTGTGTAGTTAGTCCATGTTCATCTTCGCCGTGTGGGGCAGGCACGTGTGTAGCTGAGACCAACGGCTACACATGCCAATGCCCCAACACACACACTGGAACCAACTGTGAGATGACCAGTAAGTGTGCAGCACCTTTGACTTTTAACTAAATGGAGGCTATTGCATTTGGGTTCAGCAGCACTCAAATGAAGATACCGAACCAATTAAGAATCCTCATGCCCATGAAACAAAGTTCCATAATTCCTTGGCATCTGCGTGAAAACAAAAAGAAACCAAACCCTAAAGCAAGCAAAAACGTGAACTAAAAACCAACTCAAGAAATTTCTATTCCTTCCTGCTTAACCTCCCAGTTTCATCTGTGAGGCACAACAGGGCTTTGTAATGTTACTCTTAACCAGACGTACACGTCTACAAACTCTGATTTGAAAAGCACAAGATGAATATAGACAAGTACTCAGTTTTCCATCTCAGCAGACTTGTTTGAAGTGAGAAATTCAATGCAATCAAAAATCTGACCCGTAGCCCAATCCACAAAGCTCACTTAGAGGTTTGATCTTGGGCCATTAGAGAAACAGCTCATCCATCCCTCGATGTCAAAGGTTAGTCGTGGCTGCGCAGTCTGTAGTTTTAGACCTTTTGTGATGTCCACTTTCATTTTTTTCCCCATGTGTATAGTCAGTCCATGTTTGTCTTCGCCGTGTGGGGCAGGCACGTGTGTAGCTGAGACCAATGGCTACACTTGCCAATGTCCCAATACACACACTGGAACCAACTGTGAGACGCCCAGTAAGTGTGACGCGCCTTTGACTTGCTGCACTCTGTTGCTGAAAAACTTCAATGAACCTCAAGTTATCATTTGCAAGATGTTTACATAATCAAGGCCCCAAACTCTGTCTTGCTGCTGAGAGCAGGCAGCCAAGCTGTTTCTTAACTGTCTCACTTTTTAAATTGCATTTGTGCCCACGTAGTGACCTTCGACAGTACCTATAATTAATTATTCACAAGGACATAATTTACTTCTTTTGATCATCTGATACTCATCTTTTGGAATAACCCATGCAAGGTTTACCTTGCCTTCAATGTGCACATTAGGAATAAGTGGAAATCTTATCAAAACCTCATTCCATTTCCGGCTCTGTCCTGAAATCTGAACTGCCTCAATCTGTTTGTGTGAATGCAGCTCATCATCATAGCTCCATTCTGCATTTCAGAGACATGATACCTTCAAACAAAAACAAATTAAATTCAGAAATGGACTTGCAGAACTTAAGTCGAGGCTCACGAATAGAGAAGATACAATGTGAAGAACCCAGCAAATCTTTGGGTCATGCCAGTAATTGAAGCCTAAACTTGAACTTATACCAGACTACAGTGTGATTTTAAAAGCACCTGGAGCATAGGACAGACAAGCAGAGGACAGACAAGCAGAGGACAGTATTGTATAAATCCATGAAAGTGAGCCTGGGTCTGAATTAAATTGTTCATGATACAAGTCACATTTGAAGAACTTGATTCAAGAATGTAAGAAATAAGTGGATGCTGGCTGAAAAGTGTTCCCTTGCACTCTGACTGCGCTGAAGGTAGCAAAATGGCCAGTAAATAAAAGGCATTATTATGTAATACCCACAAGACAGACGTTTTGACTGTTAAGGACTCTGAGAAATGTTGGATACGCTTCACAGCAATGCTCCATCAAAATCACATTTTCTTGCATGTTCCATTACTTACATGTATGTACCCATTCATTTTCTAAAACAGTGCCCTGGTCTAACACAGTGTAGAAGTCATGTTTCTTTTCTTTTTTTTATCTTGGCAATGTTAATTGCTTATCATCTCCATCTTAGTGTTGGTATTGTCAGTATTTGTGGTGGGGTTCTGATAACTGTCTGGTGATTGGTAAGTTACGGGGGGGTTGTATTCGGAGTTGAAGTATTAAACTGAAATTCATTGACTTTGTTCAGAGGATAGAGTTAAATTCAACAGTTGCTTAAACATCCTCAGCATTTTGTCTACCATTTGTCAAAGCAGGTGAGGTACCTGCACCTGTATCATGTGCCAAATTCTTTCAACAACTAAATACTAACCCATTGAAAGATACTGATTTCACTTTTACCCTTAATCAGACGGGATGAATCCAGTGGGGTGGTCCTACCCGCCCCTCCCCCCATTCAGACACCCCCAAAATGAAGATTTACATCCTGTAAAGGTCGTTATTTTACATCACTAACAATGCAGTGCATTACTTATGTGTCTACCTGTCCATAACAATTAGACAGTAAAAAAATCAGATGGTCTGGACTTCCCTCCCCTCCCTGCCTCCTCCCCCCCCCAAAAAAAAATCATGGATGCACCCCTGTTGGAGTAGGTAATTCTACTTTTTGCTGAAAGAGGATACAACATGTAAGAATGCAAATCATGGGTTCAAAAGAACCCTTTGAGCATACATATACATGTATATATCTATCTCTGTATGAATGCATCCCAGTCAGGACACTGAGGTCCAGAAGTATTGAATATGATAGATAGCATGGGGGATTCATAATTCAGTGTGCTGCAAAGGTGAGGTTGCCATGGACAGGCTTTTTGGTAGTGCATTGTGGGGAAAGGGTTGACAACGTTCTATTCACCATCTGTGCTGTACTGTGTGTGGAAACTTGAATTATTCCCAATATTTGTGTGTCTGTGTTGAAGATCCTTTTGAGAGTTGGTGTTGATTGAGAGGGTGTTTTTTTGTGAGGCATGGAATGCCTCAATCAATCAAAAAGTCTACTGACATTCACTCAACTGCAGCCAGCCAGCCAGCCATGTTTTTGTCAATTGTTAACTCGAAAAATACCCTTCTTTAGCAACCTCTTTGGGGCATACTGTACATGAATTATGACTTGTGTTTTTTCTTTGAGATATCCAAATTTGCCTACAGTTATGTGTGTATACTCATATTGGCAAGAGCCAACTTCTGTCTGGTCCAATTTGCTCTCCTATGCCAGCCAATGCTTAATGTAACAGCTTTTATACATAGATTTTACTTAATACATTTGCAGATGTCTGTCATGTAACTAATTGTTTTGATTGTTATTGAAACTTTGGATGGATTTTTGGTTTTTGTTAAGATTTTATTTTGGGTTTGAGTTGGGTTGGGGATATTACTGGGTTAGGTTGGGTCAGGTTGAAGTTGGGTTGGGTTTTTTTGTGTATTGTTATTGGTTTGCTTTTCTTTGACGAACCACTTTTCAATTTTTTTTCATACTCGGGCCCATACAGAAGAGACACATTTTTTCTTTATTTTTGAGATTGCTTTTGATGCACTATTCCCTCCCCATTTTGTACACAGTCAATCCATGTAGCAGCAATCCTTGTTCCAGTGGGAGTGTGTGCACAGTTTCTGGCTCTGGCTACATATGCCAACCAAGTGAGTGCCCATTGCTCTTTAGTTGCTTTCAGTTAGTTGTAAACAGTAATTGTGCCATTTGTTTGTTTATTCATCGTTTTACATTTGGAAGTGTGGTGCTATCCCTTGTCTTGAATTGTGTCATTGTCTAACACATTTTAAAGTCATGCTTCTTTTCGTTTTCATCTTGGCAATGTTAATTGCTTGATCTTCATTTTGGTATAGGTGTCAGTATTTGTAGTGGGGTTCTGGTAACTGTCTGTTGATTGGTCAGTTATGGATTGCAGTTGCACTTGGAGTCAAAGTAGCAAATCAAAATTCATTGACTTTGTTTAAAGACCAGAATTAGATTCAACAGTTGCTGAAACATCGTCAGCATTTTGTCTGCCATTTATCAAAGCAAGGATGAGGTACTGGTATCACGTGCGAGTTTGTTTGGACAACTAAATACTAACTCATTGGAAGATACATTCATTTCTTGATGCTGATTTCACGTTTTGCCCCTAATCAGACAGGGATGGATCCAGCGGGGATGGTCCAATTAATTTTACCTCCCTCCATTCAGACACCCCCAAAACAAAGATTTACATCCTGGGAGGGTCATTATTTGAACATAATGCATGACTGTACATGTCTATCTGTCAACAACAATTAGACATTAAAAGATCAGACATTCTGGACTTCCCTCTCCTTCCTCCCTCCCCTACCCCTCGGAAAACTTCCTGGATCCACCCCTGTTAGACTAGGTAATTTTACATTTAGCAGGAAGAGTCTTACATTTCATGACTTTGTAAAAAAAGTCCTCAATCTGTAACAGAAAAGTGATGGCAAGTGTGCATGAAAAGGCTGGTACATTTATTTTCAAACACGTTTATATCGGATTGTTTGCTTGGCAAGATTTTGAGGTTTTTTTCACTTCATGAAAACGCTGACAATTTGTGTGTCAGGGTTGAAGATTTGAAAGTGCTTTTTGAGTGTCAGTGTTAATCAAGAGGTTGGCTTTTTTTGAGGCAAGAAATGCCCCGATCAATAAAAAGTTTTCTCAGGTTATCTACTGACATTCACTCAAGTGCAGTGAGCCAGCCATTTTACTCATATGCATTTGCAGGTGTCTGTCATACAACTAATCGTTTTGATTGTTGTTGAAACTTTGGGGGATGTTTGGGTTTTATTAAGGTTTTACTTATGATTTGAGTTGGATAGGAGATTTTAGTTGAGTTGGGTTGGGTTATTACAGTTTTCCCTGGATCAGTTGATTTTCTCATTTTTCACTTCATGCTCATGCCATTGATAATTGAAAAACACGACAAATAGTCTTGTAAAGAGTGGAGTTTCTTCATTTTTTGTCAAAGTCCAAGTTGCATGCCTGTGGGTTAGGTTGCATTGGGTTATTAGTGTATTGTTTTTGGTTCGCTTTGCTTTGATTAATCACTCTTCA